CTCTCTCTCTCTTCGCTCACTCTTTCTCTCTCTACATGTATATATAAGAGTTTTAATATTGTTTGTATTGCTAAAAAATGTGACTAGCATTTAGCTCGTCTTGCACACGCGTTTGGTTTTCGAACTCATGCAATGACGTTACGTATTAGGTTGGGATTATTACTTACGTTATTCGTAAGCATAAAAAAGTAATTTCGCTGCATAAAGTTCCTTAATTGTAAGTAATGCACCCAAATACCGGCGGATCGCGAAATATATGTTGATAGAAGCACATCAACCTTAAATGTGCGATATACGGAACCGGCCGAGGTGAGCCGAGGTTTGCCGAGTACCTGCTTCCCGTGAGGAAAACGTGCTCCCTCCCCCCGGAAAAAAGTCGTCTGCTTGCTAATTGAAATACGCACGCAAAAACATCCTCGCTATTAGAAACGATATGCCGGTCCAATAGACATGCTAATTAGGTACCATGATCGAATTGGTGGGAAGACCACACTTCGCACTACATATCAAGAGCTAATAATACCTATTATTTACTTATTATAGTAGGTATTATTAGCGCTTGTATATATATCAAGAGTACATAATAGAGTACATACATCCAGAGTACATACATACAGAGATACATACATCTCTAGTATGTACTCTTGATTATATAATATACGACAAGGCTTCCCTGAACGGTAGAATGACGTCTGTGTTGCATCGGTAACAATCACAGCACATGTTCTATTCTATATTCGATTCAATTCTACATTCTATTCGATTCTATTCTATGCTATGTAACAACTTCTATCGCAGAATTAAAGGGTCACGATATAGTGTTCAGGTGCTCTCTCTCTCTTTCTCTCTCTCTCTCTCTCTCTCTCTCTCTCTCTCTCGTACTCTCAGTTTGGCCCAGAGCTCCGCCCACCGGTGATTGACGGGGACTGCGCGAGACTGTTTTAACCACTGATCTATATATACTAACGCCCATAGGGTCTATGTCCCCCAGGGTACTGCCGGAACGTCCGGTATACCGGAACGTACCCTGGTAACTATTTGATATGGTTAGGGTTAGGGTTAGGGTTAGGGTTAGGGTTAGGGTTAGTGTCAGGGAGTAGGCGTAGGCGACTCCCTATAGACTCGTTAGTGGAGTAGGCGAGGTACGGTCCGGCATATTAGATAGTACCAGAATACGTTCCGGCAGTACCCTGGGGGACATAGACCCTCTCAGCTATACTGACTAGTATAGAGGATTTTAGTATATGGAGATCAGTGGTTTTAACGGGCAGCTTACGTACGGCACGTGGCGCCATATTTGGCAAGGCTTCGCCGGCGCGCATGCGTATGGTCGGCTGAAACTTACAATGTACTCGCAGCATCTGTAAACGCCAGATTCGGAAAGTGCAAATTCTTGGATGTAATCCGCTCAAAAGAAGAGATTGATTCACAGAGCGTTTCATTTACAGAGAGTGGTAACGCAAAAAAACAACAACAATGTGCGGTGTCAGTTTGTCTCTATTGACTCATTTTCATCTACGTTTAATGTCCGTTATTTATTTCCCTACAACGAAGGCAAATTTTATGTCACAGCTAATAGCCAATTATAATAGTTACGAGTTCGTATTATTTATAATGTTATGCCATTTATCCTACTGGTTAATACTGTCTCTCTTATAATCCTTTCATCTACGTCCTTCAGTCAATCGACGGCATTCTTTAGATCAAACAATCTTATGTGTATTACGGGCTGTAGCTCTTCAACTTTTCTGCTATAAATTATTGAGATTACTATTCTAGAATTATAAGTGAGAAGTAAGGGTTAACATTAACTTGTTCACGTCGGCGTACGTAACTTCAGTATAGCTGGATATCCGGCTATCCGACTCCGACTCCGACTCCTTCTCATCCTCCCCCTCATGGTTGGAATCATCATCCTTTCTTGGTATATTTATGAATTTAGTTTGCCACGGATCGATTCATTGCCATCCATCGTCCTCTACGCTGTTTCGCTGGCAGACTCACGAGTTCTGCTCTTGTCAATTAATCATCATCATATACGTAGGTTAGATGAAATATTTAGTCGCTGCGTTTTGGTTGACGTTCACTAATGTTCTCTCTTAGAGCATCGTTGCACTTAAAACACGCGCGCCCTGTTTATTTATTTATTTCGCTCATCGATAATTATCTTACCGCGCGCAGTATTATTAACAATTTGCGCGTGCACGAATATACGCACATATATATATATATATATATATATTAATCATTCACAACATAAGGAGTCCTTATTTATTCAAAAAGAGCGTAAATTATTTAATTTAAAGTCCGTTGCTATCGTTCCATATTCGCAATAAATCATGGTTGAAAATGTAAATTGACGTGTCTTATCAGTAAGGCACTCATGTGAAAGCGTAACTCAGCGTTAGTAGCCCTGAGGTAGGCCGTGAACTACGGCCACTGAGTTTTCAAGGCATTATCGCTTCTAAATGCTATCTACTATTATACTGGCTTCTGCCACATACATTCCCACACTTCCCTATACGTCGTACAAGTGTATACCGACATAATTTATGGACCAATATCGCACGAGATGATAAAGCAGGAGATGTACCGCCTCAACGTGAATCGATCTTTACTTTTGATTTTTACGATGTTTGTTTTTACTGTTTTGCTTACTCTCCATAGAAGCCATTCCCGACGCACATAAATTACGGCAGGTATAAATGCCTTTCTGCCCGTTATTACCAGCTGCGTGACATACGCGATAAAATTCGAAGCGGCATTGTATAGATTGTTATTGTATCGATCAAAGAAAACAATTAAGGACCACGCGGAAGCACGCTATCATGATACGGGATAATTAATCGATGCGATTTTTTTAATTAATCTATAATTAATTGATTATTATTTTAATTAATCTATAATTAATTGATTATTATTTTAATTAATTATTTAATAACACAGTTTGCCTGACATAATCTGTTGGTAATTAATAACGTTACTGAGCCCTGTCACCCGTGCGGCTACAGTTTGTGAACGGGCATCCTTATTGTATTTCCCCTTTTTTGCCACACGAGCCCTCGCCATGGCGCTACTGAGTCACTTTTGTAGAAATGTTACACCAGCTGAGGGTTTTTCTCCTGCTGGGATAACTTATCCACAGTCCGATGCTCTATAATTAAACATGGTGGTGCATGGAAGCCAGCAGCCACCTCGGTAACGCGAATCAGCCGCGCTTGCAGACGCGTAAACTAGAGCGGCTGCGCTGTTTATGAAAAAAATCTGTAGAGATAAAACAGCACTTAGGCTCTAACAAACTTTCTCTGCGTTGTGGTGGTGGTGGTATGTTTGTGTGTGTGGGGTGAGGGTGGTGGTGTGTGTGTGTGGGGAGGGGGTGTAGCGGTGCGTGGTGGTTATAGGGAAGATGATGAAGAAATAATAGACGATAAAATTATAAATATACGTAGTATAGTTAGAGGTTATCGTCTAGGTGTGATTTCAGCGTGCACGTGCGTGCGTGTGTGCGCGTGTGTGCATGTGTGTTAGTAGCAATGTAGCTTTAGTAAAGTTGAAAACCCGCTTCTTGTATCGCTCGAAGTAACCGACACGAACATCTGCCATCTCGCAATGTGGTGCTTTTAGAAGAGAAGTGACTTCCAAGCCTAGCGGCGAAGCTGTCAGAGAGACTCGATCGCGACCGCACAACGATTCTGTCAATTTAGCAGTGTAAAGTTTTTTCAGGTAAACTATTGCTAAACTAGAGCACTCGGAGAGCACAGACCTCCGCCAAGGCAGCTGAATTGTCTCACTGTGAAAATTTTAATTAATTAATTAATTAATTAAATAATTAATTGGATCCGGATCACTACCAAAATGTAATCAACTCTAAGTTACCCCATTTCTGACCTATCCTGAAAATTTTATTAATTAATTAATTAGTTAATTAATTAATTGGATCCGGATCACCACCAAAATGTAATCCATTCTAAGTTACCCCATTTCTGACCTATCCTGAAAATTTAATTAATTAATTGGATCCGGATCACCACCAAAATGTAATGTTACCCCATTTCTGACCTATCCTGAAAATTTAATTAATTAATTGGATCCGGATCACCACGAAAATCTCATCAATTCTAAGTTAGGCGATTTCTAACCTATCCTGAAAATTTTATGACAATCCGTCCATAACTTTTTCAGTTAGGCTGTACACAAACAAACCCACGAACCCACAAACAAACAGTGAAACACACGCCGGTGAAAACATAACCTCCTGCCAACCCCTTGGCGGAGGTAATAAGGCAAACAGAAGAGATCCGATGCCTTGCCTCAGATAAACAGCCTCAGAGCACAACTGTGTTGTAGATCGCGAATGCACACAGCGCGCACAGACACCCCCCCACCGCCTAACCCACACACGTATACTCACGTGCAAACATTGGATAGACGTATGGACGAACGGATGGACTAACGGATGGACGGACGGACGGATGGACGTACGGACGGACGGACGGACGGACGGACGAACGGACGGACGGACGAACGGACGGACGGACGAACGGACGGACGGACAGACAGACGGACGGACGGACGGACAGACGAACGGGCGGACGGACGGACGGACGGACGGACGGACGAACGGACGGATGGACGGACGGACGGACGGACGGACGGACGGACGGACGAACGGACGGATGGACGGACGGACGGACGGACGGACGGACGGACGGACGAACGGACGAACGGACGGACGACTGGACGGACAGACGGAAGGATGGACGCAGGGATAGACAGATAGAACGATAGGGAGACAGGTGCCAATCGCCGGTCATGCCCCGTGAGCCATCTAACTCAACCCGTGCTTACGTGACAAAACAAACATCTCTAGTCGGGTCATTATATCGGTCCCGGACCTTATACGGCGACTGCTGAAGGACGCGTTATGAGGGAAATGTCGTGTAGGGGGTTCTTTTGGTGTATTTATAGTCGAAAGTTGTTTTTTTTAATTCCGTGCTCACCTGTCGAACACTCGGAATGCTTCTCGCAACTCCTCTTCCTGATCCGTATCCTTCATCCGCTTGGACATCATCATAAGAAACTCGTTGAACTCAATCGTTCCATTTCCTGCGAACAGAAGCGAACGCGTGTATGCATGATTCTCGGAGAACAGTAATCAATATATGAGTAATCTGGGACTTCGACGAATTCGTATCCTGCACGCCATGCCTCGCGGCTGTAAAGATGGCGATGACAGTGATTACGATGGTAATTATGATCCTAATTCAGAGCAGCATTAATTAATAAATTACATATGAACCACGAGACCGGTTGAATAGCGAGGTAGGCTCGCGTTCGTGATAAAGCTCCTTAAAGCTCGGTAATACGTCACTCAATGCCAAGAACATTATTCGACATCGCGTAAATGATGCGGAAATAAACTGATCAGTCTATATTTAAAACGATAGCTGTTTTTTCCCCAAGTGAATCGAAGAGAAATCACGTGCGCGTGCATTTCCTGATTAGCGCAACATACGTTTACTCCCATTAGTATTGGTATTATTATTGTCTGGCTTCGTGTTACTGTACGTGTTCGTATTGCTATTCTTACCCATAGTGTTATTCCTATACTCGTATTCCATTACATCGTCTTATACTTTCTATAATTCTATTCCTGCGTTATATTCCTATTTCTATTCCTATTTCCATTCCCATTCCCATTCGTAATCCTATTCATATTCCTATTCCTGTTCATATTCATATTACTATTTTTATCCCTGCTCCTACTCCTACTTCTATTGTTATTCCTGTTCCTATTCCTATTCTTATTCCTTTCTTTGCGACTAGGTTATTTCTGCTGCGCTGGCCTAAAGTTGTTGATGATGATGGCAATGTCGATGATGATGACGCTGTTGTTGTTGTTGTTTTTGTTGTTGTTGTTGTTGTTGTTGTTGATGATGATGATGATGATGCCGATGGCGATGACAATGATACTGATGACGATGATGATGACGATGATGTTGATTACACGCACCGTCTTCGTCCACCTCGTTGATCATGTCCCTGAGTTCCCTCTCCGATGGCCTCTGTCCCAGGGAACGCATCACGATTCCCAGTTCATCGCTGGTGATCGTGCCGTCACCATCCTTGTCGAATAGTGTGAACGCCTCCTTAAACTCTGCAAGCACATGTACGTGAACAACAGCGTTTAGACAGCGACGAGGTCCGTGTTCGGACGGGCGGGTTAGTTCGCTGCGGATTAATGCAATACAGCTGTCATCGAACTCCCGACTTCCCTAATAGTGGTAAATATTTATCGTAAACAAATCAAAAAATTACAGCGCGCGTTTGTATCCAAGGCGTCCAGAGTAATTCAAGGTCAAGCGGGCAAAACCTTGGCTGCTGCCGATCATGTTCAATTATTTGCAACGCTGACTGTTCTTATCTTGTTAGGCATTGGGAAAAACGAAAAGTTGAAACAGGCGCGGCAAAATCTACGTCGCCCGAGGAATGCGCCCCGATATCAAGCGGCCATATTAGTTTTTTTTCCCGGTGCTCTGGAGCTGCTACCATAGTCGGTAACCCAATGCTTCTGACCACACCAAATTATACTGATGCACTAAGGCTGACCGCTATAATCCTGTATTGGTATTGTTCGCGCTAAGTCATTAAAGTTATAGGCCAAAAGGGCAGACAGAGTGTTGAGTCGTACGTACGTCGGTGAAAATAAAGCCTAGGACACACTGCGCGATTTTCTACGCTGGCCGCTTGCGATCGATAAATACGGTGCCGGGTCCGCGCGGTGTGTCCGGTCTCACGGCAGTGTATTTCGCTCGCGATCCCATACGCCCGGCACATCGCTCGTATTCAACATGTTGAATATTTCCGCCCGGTTTTTCGACCCGGAACCGTGTTTATCGATCGGCGGATCGCAAGCGGCCAGCGTAAAAAATCGCACAGTGTGTCCTAGGCTTAACCCAACTACGTATATAATCGACGCCGTACTATCGCCTAATTGGATTACAGGTGAACGTGAAGGTATCGACCGTGGGGCTGTGGACTGCCTTGCAAAACACAGCGGTGTACGTCGAGCGGGCTTTACTCGCTGTGATCGCCCGAACGCGTAACGAAGGCGCACGAATGCGTAACGAAAGCGCACGAATGCGTAACGAAGGCGCCCGAACGCGTAACGAAGGCGCACGAATGCGTAACGAAGGCGCACGAATGCGTAACGAAGGCGCACGAATGCGTAACGAAGGCGCACGAATGCGTGACGAAGGCGTTAGAACGCGTAACGAAGGCGTTAGAATGCGTAGCAAAGGCGTTCGAAGCGTAACGAAGGTGCCCGAACGCGTAACGAAGGCACCCGAACGCGTAACGTAAGCGCCCGAATGCGTAACGAAGGCGCCCGATCGCGTACATGAAGGCGCCCGAACGCGCAACGTAGGCGCCCGAACGCGTATAACGTAAGCGCTCGTTCGCGTAACGAAGGCGCACAAACGCGTAACGAATGCGCCCGAACGCGTAACGAAGGCGCCCGAACGCGTAACGAATGCGTCAGAACGCTGATGACGATATCCACGCATGCGCGCGCGTCCTGAACCACCCGTTCTTAACAAGGCTACAACGAGTATAGATATTAACAACAACTGTATGCATTCAAACCTCCGCAATGCTCGCTCTCGCGTCCAGCGTGGCGCCAATGAGCGCCTGGCCGCGCCCGCTGGCGGTTGAGTTGTATTAGAAGTCGAGGAGGAGGAGGAGGAGGGAGTGTTCCGTAACCGGAAACCACTGTGCGAGGATATTTTCGTTCACATCGAGCAGCAGCTGGCGATGCTTTTCTCACTTAACGGCGAGGCGGTCGCGTTTATTCCTACACCGAAGGAGTGATTTCTATGTCCGCTCGCTCTTCAAGCGGAGTAGCGTTGTTATCACTGCCATGGCGTATATATAGTACTGCAGAGACAGCAGCCCACAGTTTTACTAGCGTATATCAATAAGAGATATATGTCCGATAGAACCTGGTGGGACTATTGTAGCTCGCACCCATAGTCGGTCGTCTATTATTACATCTTAGCAACTATTCATTGCTAAGATGGCGTCGACTATGTTTTGCGTAACGAGTAGTGCCTGTGCAGAAACTCCTGTTCAGCTTTTTATTGTAATTTTTTTCTTTTCTTTTACTAACGCCGCCGTTGCCGCGTTACAGACGTCACTATGTTATCTGAATTCTCTCATTATTCATGCGTATAATCGCACACCGACGTCGGCCGCCTTTACTGGTGTCCAAGCACCACACGCAGCATCATCAATCACTGAATCTTAGATGATTACATCAATCAAATTATCAATGTTTCGGAATTTCCCGAGCGCGCGCGTGGTCCGGCGCGTAACGTTAAATATTCATAACGCATTCGTAACGATTATTGCTTATAATCGGAACGTATAACTACCCAAAACGTTACGCAAAAAGCGAACGAAGAGAGCAGGAACGCGGCGCGGCAGCGATGCGTAACGTAAATTATTCATAACGCATTCGTAACGAGATTATTCATAACGCATTCGTAACGAGATTATAGTAAATAATCGATGCTAAACACACTCTGAAGAAGCGAGCCTCTCCGTGAAGAACGAACGAAGGTGAAAGTGGAGAAAAACTGTCGCCGCAAGCAAACGTGTCTAGCGGCCTCTAGCGGTTTCTAACGGAAGCATATATTCGTTATAGCAATAGCTATAATATTGTGCATTATACACGTATAAGCTGCATATAACTGCGCTTGTGTATATTCGATTACGCGAAGCCATAGAACTTGATTCAGCCGAGAATGACGCGGACGCAAGCAGAAGAACGAAGACCGTAGACTAGCCGTAATTCCTTGGACCAACTCTCCCGTACGCGTCGCGACCGTGTTCGTTCGAAAAATCAGGTTACACGGGGTTTAATTAGGCGTAGAGAGACCACGCGAGCCAGCGGAAGAGCAGTGTGTTATAACTACTGCATGTGGGAGAGCGGTGTCCGATAACTACTGCCCGTTGCATTAGGGTAAAGTGACGTACGGGGCAGCATGTAGTGTGTTTGTGTGCTTGCGTGCGTGCGTGCTTGCGTGTGTATGCGCGCGTGTGGGCGTGCGTGCGTGCGTACGCGTGTGTGCGCGCGCGTGTATTCGTGATTGTGTGTGTGCGCGCATGTGTGTGCGTGTGTGCGCGAACGTATGTGTGTATATATGCGTGCGCGTGTGTGCGTGTGCGTGCGTGTGCGTGCGTGCGCGTATATAAGTGCATCGCGGGCAATGGCTGAATCCTTCGAAGCCGTCTTTCTCGCCGTGGCCGCAGGAAGGGATCATTCTCTAACTTCAATCCAGACATCGTCATCGATTTCGACGAACGCTTAATGGACGACACGGCGCAATTCAAACATGATGCAATCTAGATTCTGTGGCGCGACTCCGTGACGTAAGGATCATATATATAATATATGTGTGTGTGTGTGTGTGTGTGTGTGTGTGTGTGTGTGTGTGTGTGTGTGTGTGTGTGTGTGTGGTGTGTGTGTGTGTGTGCGTTGTGTGTGTGTGGGTGTGTGTGTGTGCGTGTGTGTGTGTGTGTGTGGTGTGTGTGTGTGTGTGGCGTGCGTCGTGCGTGCGTGCGCGCGCGCGCGTGTGTGTGTATGTATCAATTGCAGACATGGCAAAAAATGCTGTGACATATGCACGCGTAAACGTACCCGAGATTTGCTCGTCGCTCAGACCATATTTCTCGTCCTGAAAAGACAAAACAAAAGCAACGATTTACTTCGGGATCATCTGCGCGTGTTATACTGCGTTCGCTATATATCTAACATCAAGGATATTCTACCTGAAGCGCCCAAGATCTCTGTTGGCACGCGAAGAGCGAAATAGACATAAGTAAACCCTCGTAGGCCAATCATTACTTTTCTACAACTAATTAACACACTAACATTTACACAGCTGATTCTATTTTTGCCTCGATGCAAACAATAACGATGTGGTTGGAAAGTTACGGTTCTCTATGCGGGTTGAAATGCGCAATCTTTATAGCTGCTTCACCGCTGCAGCGGGGAAAGGCCATTTACGCGGCATGCATATTTCAATTAATGGGATTGACCTCGGTGAAATTTAATCTAATAACGTCTCATGAACGAGGTGTTGAATGTGCGATAAACGTGCCGCGCGCATATCGAAATAAAATATCAAAACTCCCGGTAGTAAATGATACACGTCTCTTCATTATTTAGGGTGTAAAGAGTTCATAGCATGGGAATATACAAGAGCCGGTATAGCGTGGGTATACAAGAGGCCGGTATACAAATGTAACTTAAAGCTGGTATAGCATAGATAAAGACAAGGGTAAATAATCTATAAGATATATATATATATATATATATATATATAATTATATTATATATATAGTATAGAGAGAGAGAGAGAGAGAGAGAGAGAGAGAGAGAGAGAGAGAGAGAGAGAGAGAGAGAAAGAGAGAGAGAGAGGAGAGAGAGAGAGAGGAGAGAGAGGGAAAGAGTGGGAGAAAGAGAGAGAGCGAGAGAGACAGAGAAAGAGCAAGAGAGACAAAGAGATAGAGTGAGTGGCAGAGATGGGAAATTCGCGGGTTTGTGTGTGTGTGTGTGTGGTGTGTGTGTCTGGTGTGTGTTATGTGTGTGTGTGTGTGTGTGTGTGTGTGTGTGTGTGTGTGTGTGTGTGTGTGTGTGTGTGTCTGTGCGTGATTATATTAAAATTATCTACCTCTAGCGTAGAGAATTCAGCTGGTATCCTATGGGGAGCAGCCGGCATGATATGATGCTACCCGATATCGACTTTATATCGAAAAAGCGAGACGGCAGGTATACGTATAGGTTGAACTTTACCGTCACGTGTATAGCGAGCGGCTCGCGATTTGTGCTCGCCGCGATGCACGTGAGAACACACTCACAGCATTCGTCTGTAATCGCCCCCACCTTCCCTCCTTCCCACCGCAAGCTGTGCCAACCACACCACAGAGCTCACATGTTGATGATAGGGTAACATCAAGAGCTCATAATAGAGATCTCTATTATGAGCTCTTGGTAATATCTAAGGATTCGGTCATAGATTTTCATCGCATGTGTGTGAGATTGCGTTGCTGCAGCTCAGCAAAGATTGTCGATGAATTTGCTATCACGGGCTAATAATTATTATTAGCTATTGATACTATATAGGGAAACTAGAGGTACGTCTGGTTAGGGCTGCAAGCACCAGCATCCTAACCCTAATGCTGATACTAATCCTAACCATAATCCTAATTCTAACCCTAATCCAATTATTAAAACTACTCATAAATCTAATCTAACACTTACTCTAACCTTAGCCTATCCCTTACAATAACCTTAATATGAACCTAGCTAACCCTAACCATAACCTAATCCTAATTCTAACAATACCCTAACCCTATTCCCAACACCAGCCTTATCCCTAATCCTGACCCTAATCCTTAATCATAATCCTAACCTGAACACTTTTAGCTTTCATAATCGCGACCCTAAGTACGAACCCTATGTGACCCTAGATGTAACAATAGACCAACAATGTCTTGTTGTAAGGTATTTTTAGTCTATGACGTAGCTCCCCATGAAACCTCTTAAATGACGTCGAACGCGAAACTAGAATCAGGTGATAACGCACAATATCCGTTCGCTGTATGGAATTTCTCAAGAGAGAGAGAAAGAGAAATCTTCAGAGCCAGGCGGCCATGCAGCCCCATGATTTCACTTCTTGCGCGCGTTTTTAGTTTCAGCGTGGCTTCTCCGGTTCGCATTGCTCACTCAGCTAACAGGATACCCGGAGGGATAGGCACACATGCACGCAGAACGTGTGCAGTCAGCCACTGCGTCGTTAGCAGTCAGTAGGACTAATATAGACTATATATATATAGTACTATACGCTATCAACTGCTGCCATAAACCGTCTATATAGTTTAGAGTCTAAGACTAAAATAACTGTGCTATAATATATACTATATTATTTATATATATATATGTATGTGTATGTGTGTGTGTGTGTGTGTGTGTGTGTGTGTGTGTGTGTGTGTGTGTGTGTGTGTGTGTGTGTGTGTGTGTGTGTGTGT